CATTGGCTAACAAAATTCCACTACCATTCAATGTTAGGTTTCGCAAGAAAAAAACGTTTCATTTTCTGCCATAGTCTAATCAAAAGCGCAGGATAAAGATGCAGTCAAAAGCTTAAATTCCTCAAGATTTATATTATTTATTACATTTAATGTGATGGAGAAGCAATCAAAACATCGCCTGCACATTTGATAATAAAATTATTAACTTGTTCTAAATAGTAGCCCATTCCATTCCTAAACCACAAAAGCACCTATGTGTACGGTTGGCTACGTAAGGCGCAAAAGGCGTTCAACAACATACAACATAACCCATAACGGATCACTGAATTCTACATAAACATGAAGCATTCAAAATACTTTTAACACACCGTGGACATGGACGATGAAACTGAAACAAAAGTTGCAGAGTGCGCTAAAAATGCTGAAAAAAGCACGCTTGGAATTACACTGGCAGAAGGAGAAACAAACACAAATCGGGAGGCACCTTATTGACTTTTAAGGAAAGTAAGTAGGCTGACGACGGCCAATGCAAGAAACCGGTGATGGAATGGCGGTTCAAGAATAAATCTGCCCAATGCTTACGAACACCACAGCGATGGCGCGACAAGATCAGTTAATGTGCAGGAGCTGGGTGAACTGTTGCAATCACAATACCATAACGGATAACGATGGTGTGGAGGAGACGTCATTCGGCGGTGGACACACAATGGCTGATGACGATTCAATAAGAAAGAACACGCATTGAGAGCGCACATTACAAGACCAAAACTATTCCGATTGTCCCACACTCTACGCTCCGCCCTGGTACCCGATGCGCAAAACCCAATTCCCCATCATTCGGAACGCCCCCTGCACCACTCGCCCTCCCAATCCACTGTTCTTCTCTACGAGAGAACACCAAATGTTCCTTGTATCTCCCAATGGATACCCCATGAAATTAAGCAATGCCCCTTGTATGACCCTATCTCTCTACACCCTACTCTGTAGTCCCCAGACACCCAACTGATAAGGTACTTAACAGACTTGTACTCCCTTTATGGGGGATAAACCGAGGGCTTTGGCCAGAGCACTCCCCCACCGAGAAACCACATGGCCTTGTAGCTTCCAGCTGTCATCCATTCATCACCTCCCAATCTGCATACTAAACGGATCGCTGACGGTTTTACAGCTACAGTTTAATTGGATGTACGGCACACCGACATCTGTTCTCATTTTATCCACGAAGGAAAGCGATGATCGAGATATACCGGACGTGCTGCTCGTGTCAGACAAGCGTTGTTTTGTTGAAGCTGCCAAATTCACTGCCGCTTCATTCAAACTGATCTCTCCTACACTTCTTCATGGTGGCTTTAAACCACGAATCTGCCCCCTGTACACTTGCAAACTTGACTCGAGGATTTCCTGAATCAGCAACAGCCATCAGAAAATGTCCCTGATGAAGCAAAACGGGCCTGAGTCAAGTAAACGGCACTTAAATCTGAATGTCAATCCAGCCTGGCAGAGGTGGCTGCGCACACCTGCAATCCAGCGCTGTGGAGGGAGCGAGGGTTGGTGGACCGCACAAATGTTACAAAACTGCCTTCCAGTGGGCATCAATGAGGGAGCTTAATCCCTGGCTTGCCAGGAGAACAAAGCAGGGCAAAAATATGGTCTCCACGTTCCGTTTGTATGTGACGGAGTGTTTCCCCTTTGCAAGCGCCGGTCTGCTCCGGGCGCTCTGGTTTCCTCCCCAATTGAAGCACTCATTATTATTTGGCCGATAACACCTTCACACAGAGAAGCCCAGAGCTTGGGCAAATGTTGGCACTTGCTCACTGCATGGCTGCCTTCCTACTTGTCCGTGGTTCCTCATGCCTCCGAGTCATTCTCTCTCTATGACAGCGAGCTAATACTACACGGTGCATTGCAAGGTACAATTATTATGAATCGGTGCGCTGTCTTAAACAGCTGCTGAACACGAACACAGTGGTGTTGCAAGTGTTTATTTTTTTCTGTGCCCATCAGGTAGGTCCCTACATATCTTATGTGTAATACACCTACGGAATTCCTTGTGTGCAAGTGAGCTGCATTAAACTCCCTAAATGCACCAGAGAAAAGTTACATGGGAGATGCCACTGCTTATGTATTTCTGGTGGAGGCATGAAGCATCTTATATCTGTCGAGTACCACAACTTTTTGACAGCAATGCTACATTTTAACACCAAATTGTACTGCTCATAAAATCAGGTATCTACTTAAATATATAAAATGCAATTACAATCTTTACAATGCCGCTTCTCCCTATATGGAATTGAACGTGAATAACGGTGACCAGTCCTGAAAAAACTGTTCACTGCACCACTTGCCATATTTGCACACCAGCCACATATAGTTGCATTATTTCAATTACGGCCAACGGCTCAAATATAATTCCTTCATTTTTCCCCCCCGTACCATGCTCCAACATTTGTTACATCTGTTGTAGAATTATTATCATCATTGGTTGCATATTATTGCCATAGCCCAAAGCTTGTGTATCTGCTCATAATGCAGCAATTTCACGGTAATAATCTGGATAAGCAATCATAAGCAATGCAACAATGTATTTGTTTAGTAATAGACAACTTAACCATAACCGAGACGTTAAGTAGTTTTCCCCGCTGCTGTTTTCGCTACTGATTTGTTTAAGAAAAATAATATGAACCAAAACACTGCACACAACATTACCATTCAATTCTGACTCTAAAAGCCAATCCTTTCAAGGTATAACCCTAACCTAGATCACACCACTGTTGGTTTGTCATAAGTCAAATCCATATTAACATTTTGGCCTTGCCATGATCCCACAGTAAATACAGATCAATCAAATTGCACTTAAAAAGGCATAGAGCTTGGAAAGCAGTGTGGTGGAGTGTCTATGTATGCGTATGTGACTTTGTGGGTGCACATTTCAGATCGCTCCGATTTACTTTACTGGTGAATTGCCAGGTATTTGAATAATACGCCTCAGGGGTTCATCCTTCACTGGATTTATCAACCATTCACATTAAAAAGTAATTTTTTTTTACAACGTCCCCAACATTACCCAAGTAAACACATTAACACTGTGAAGCTAAAAATATGCCACCGTAGTAACATCTTTGTAATAAAACAAAGTTTTTACGCTTTAAATATTTTGACGCCGCATTCACTTGGTTCCATAATGGCTCGTGACAACTTTGACAAGCCACAACACTCAGTACACTTGAGAAATAACACATTCGTTTGACGGGTTACATTTAAAGTACCACTTTAAAATATCTTGCAACATGTTAGCCGACATCTTCATTCCAATGTGTTACTGGTTATATATTTGAACAGGAAAGATGTCGTTTCAATGAGCAATTTCAAGCCCAACGCAAGCCACTCGCAGACAAAATATACCCCCGTTATAACCATTCTTAATTTAATTCACATTTTCGTCCAATTTCATTCCGCTACTAATTTTTGGTTAATTAGACACTTGAATATATTTATATTCGTTGTGAATAAAGCACCAGTGAGATACACCATCATCCGGGAGTAATGCAAAAAGCAATAAAATAAAAAAAATAACGAATTTTTATGTGCATATAAAGCCAAGGTTGTGCCAGCCAAAGTCAAAGTCATAAAGAATCAGCGGTAGGGAGAGCTAAGACAATCTGCTAACCAAGCAGACTCAAATAGCAAGAACAGGGTAACAACACTACCCACATTTCAAATAGGTATGAGTTCAAAACGTTTTTTACCAAGTCATCTTGAAAGAGAACATTTTCCCACTAAGACAACATTTGCCAAAATGTATTTCACACAACAAATGATCAATAATCAATCTTGCTAAGCGGTTAATTAAAAATTGGCAAGTGCGCCCGTCACAATTCCGTTCAGGCAAGACCGCTCGCATTCATTGAAATGCTTCATGTAAATCTATTCTCCTTCATTGCAGCTCATGCTGGTCCCCCTCCCAAGGCTGAGGGAATACATACGTGACTCACTGTGCTGAGCAGAATCCAGTCCTTCCTATACAATTAATCAATCACGTAAAGGCAAAAGACAGCCCATTAAAATACAACAGCCCTTTTACATCGGGAGATATGTGAAAAACGATGAGGCAGTGAAAGACAAAAAAAACACTCGCATGCAAGCGTGCCACAACTGAGGCATGTAAAACACGACCCAGGTTACCGAGACAGTAAGGACAATGTGGATGTGATTCTTGTAGAATATTTATAATTGACGGCTTTAATCAATAGAACTGAAGGTTTTGTAGGCCAGCGTGGACCACCTTTCTTCTCACAAAACCATTTCCCAAAACAGCCCAGTCCACCTCCATGACTGGAGCCCACATATGAGAGGTGTAAAGTGAAATCAATTACAGTCAAATACTGCTTTTGACCACACATCATTGATTCTTTAATTTTCAGTTGGATATCCTAAATCTGTTCCATACGTGAAAAGAATGCCAAACACCAGACCTAAAATATGTGAAAAGAATTCCGAACACCAGACCTAACAATATCCTCATCTTTGGTGACCCGACCTCTTCTGAACTTCAAGGTCAGGCCACGTGTGTGAATATTCCAAGCTAGCTAGGATCTTGCTTGCTCTATAATTATAGCCTGGCACTAAAGGGGCCGCGATTCACCAGACTCCAGTGATGGCAAGCTCTGCAGGTTGTACCTTCTTGCCGAACTAAAACTGAAGAGGTTCCCGGCATGTGCACTGAAACGTCGGACATCAGGCCGAACGGCAAGTGGTAACAGCCCGAAAACACGTCGGAGAGCGAGCTGGCACGATCGCAAAAGCCCGAGCGGCGGGGGACCTGAGTGCTCTTTGATATCTGTGGAAAGACCGTGGCTCACTAACACAGCTGGCTGAGAATCACGTTTGTGCCGATTTGCGGAGTCAAGGCGGCGCGAGTGGTAGGGCTAAGTGTAAGTGAAGCTCTGGTGAAGCCTGCTGCTGGTAGTAGAGTGGGGGGGGGGGGGGGGTAGGAACCTCACCTCCTGATTGGTGGCCTGCAGCTCCTCCTCCAGGACTGCCACTCTCTCCAGAGCCACCCGCAGCCTTTCCCGCACCTGCCCACGCGCACACCAAGACACCGATGATCCCCATTAATCCTGATACACACTGGGGCCAGGTGCTGTTAGTGAGCATCTATCAAAGGCTGGCGCGCGTCGGCGTGATTGGGCCTATAACAATTCATTATTATTTTGTATCTCCGACACAGATGTTCGCAAAACTGCACAAGGTACTCATTTTAGGCCGAGTTAACCTATGGGAGGCTCAGGCCAGATTCAGATTCAGTTGTATCAGGTGTTAACATCAAGGCCACAACTCGTACCAAGGCGGCCAATGTCAAAGTCCACATGGTGCGAGCAATTATTATACAAACACGCATATGCTAAAAACATGTCATTTCTAAATACAAACAACACACACGAAGAAACATACACATGTACATGCACATATAGATGCATGTACACTCAAAGACAAAGATCACCCAGACGACCTACATAGAGTGCTGGTGCAAGTGGTGTCAGCAATAACCTATTAAGACTGGCATGGTTCACGAGGGGGTGGTGTGTGGCCAGTACTACGCCTGGACATTTTTGTCTCCCCAGTAATTATGTTATTGTGATGGCCAAGTCAACCAGTGTGAGGGCAAAGGGCTGGTGCTGGGTGTGGCTGGGATCAAACTTAGGTCGCTGGGTTTGTAGCGGAGGGCGCCAACTGCTGCATCATCGCACGCCACACACACACACATATAAAACCGTCATAGAGGATGCACGTTCATCTCAATTGCAAAGCCAAGTAACCTGTCCAAAGTCAAAACATCGCCATGTCACGATTGAGGGGCAAGGCATAACACGTCAAATGTAGCAAAGAAAAAAAGGCAAAATATTGAGGTAATATGTCACAGGCAACAATATGAGGTTGCATGCTGGGCACAATTCCACACACCAACTATTCATATATTCATGACACATGGAGGTATAGTTTGACGTGGGTCCCAATGCTCTGTATCATCATTAGTCCTGGTCCACGGACAGCTGGATGAGAACATCCCCATACCAATGCCATCTCTCGTGTTCTTCAATGTGCGAAATAATATTATGGCTTGCAAAGGGTTGAAAGAAAAAAAAATAGAAATTCTACGAACAAGTATGAGCACAGGCGTAGCAATCACTCATTAGCCAGCTATGAATGAGTACCCCCCCCCTTGCCTGGGGGGGGAAGTTGTGGCAGCTTTTACTATTCGAGACTTTGATGCAGGTTTGTCACAATAAGTCCAGCCGAATGGTCAAATTGGGGCAGCCTACACGAGAATATGTGGAAGAGTCAATCGCGACTATCTCCGTGGAAGGAAAGAGAGACGGGACAGAATCATGATGTTTTGTTTTCTGGAAAATAATAATGTCGCAAACAATGGAAGATGTGACAGCGAAATAAAAACGAGGGTTTGGAAAAGGAAAAGCAAATTACGCGTTTGGGAACACCCCGCCCTCACCCCAACATATGGAACAAACAATTGGTCCAATCTACAGACAAAAGTCTGGGAAATCAAGCAATCCAGATTACTTTAAAGAGCTCAGACCTGGGCATTAGCTGTGGTAAATGCCACGAGAGAAGGGGGCAGCAAGGTCATAGTCCCAGAAAATGGCAAATAAAGATAAAGAATTACTGCTGATGAGCTAAAGTGCAGACGATTTCAGCATCTGCAAGTGCTGCAAGTGTGTCACCTGGGAAGAGCTCCAGGTGATAACACAGAGACCACCACAGGCGTGAGGTACTGGGTTGCCTGATGGAGTCAGTGATGCAGCACGGACTACGTGGCTAAGTGAGCAATCTCTGTCACCGTTTTGTCCAGGAAAATGTCTGCATTTAGGAAAACAATTTCGGTCAGTAATACATTCTGAAGTTCACAAACTTCACCTCACTCTGCTCTTCATTGTTGCCTTTCATTTATAATGAATGTATAATTAATCACATAAAAAATGAAAAATAATCACCTGCCAAACACTTAATTTCCCCCCAGGCAATATTTTAAGTAAAATTAATTACAATCCGCTGAAGTTTGTTCAATTGAAAAGCCACGATTCAGATGATAATTACACCGCATAGAATAACAAGGCAAGATGATGTTATCTGCACTGTGGGACCACATTTCTTGCTTGTTGCATGTTTTACACTCACAGCGGCCCCCAGCCACTGCTCACATTGTGAGCGATAATGCAAGCCTCAAAATAATGTATGCAACACATTGATTCATTGCATTGCTTGAACTATGTCTAGCAATCCTTTCTGCGGTGCCTTTTAAAAAGACGACCGTAATATATACGTAGAACTTCTGCACCGTATGTAGCCAAAAGTGCGGGGGAAGGACAACAAACTAAACACAAAAAGCAGTCTAATGAATATGTATGCAAGTTGTATGCATGTGTATTTTAAAAATAATGGCTTTAGGAGATTGATTTTTCTAAGAGGCACAATGAAAAGCAATTTACTATCAGCGTCAAACAAATTGTCTCGGTTGCCTGTTCGGCTTCTGGTGAAATAATCACACACATGCATGCACTTAAGCACGCCCACACACACACGTACACATGTGCGGACAGACAAACCTCGCATGCATTTCCTTACCGGCTTCAACCACAGATGGTTATCCATCTGTGCGACGCTGGCAGAGCGCCAACGTCATATTCGGAGGGTTGCGAGTAAAAAATTCAGGCTCAGTGTTAACTCAGCACATCGATTATCTGGGGTCGATAAAATAGATACTACTCTGTGGGTAGTCACCAGTCCTTGTCGTACGGTGAGAGTGATCCCTGTCATACGAATATGAAATTTCCAACATTGGCTTCAGACTGTCAATTGAGATGAGCGTCGCCTGCTTTCGTTTAAGTTTGCAGATGCACTTTGAATGTTTCACTGCCAAGGCGCGATGTGTGTTCTATGTACATCGGATTAGTTCACCATGATTTGGACAAGAAAAGGGGGGGGGGGGTGTACAGGTCAATTTACACTGGGGTTGCCGCAATTTGGTGAAACTACGCGATATCACAAGATGCGATATCCACAATAATGCAATAATAGTATTGTCAATCCCACAAATGATTGTTGCGTTGCGATTGTTATTGCTCATATAATCTCTCAGAAATATTTTCTATGCTGACAAATGTTTTATGAAATAACAAACTCGATGAACGTTTAAATAAGTATCGGTTACCCAGCAAATAATGCTTCCTGAAATGTTTTTCAGAGTAACTGACTGCATGGCGGTAATATAGCGTCACCATTTCTGGAGTAAATGTAACCGTTTTTTTCTAGATTAGAAGTCTTATGCTGAATTAACAGGAGCTGAAGAACTTAAGTAAAATCATCGTTATTCATGCTGGAAAGTACAGCACCTCCGAAGAGAACGGTCGGCTACGTACGGTGCGAAATAAGTGCAACATACACACAGCAAAGCATGACAAAAACACTATGAAACTTGCAAACAATGTTATGGTCCATACTCTTAGTTTTTTCGGTAGTCACGTAGGTAAAAAATGGAAATTAATAAAAAATAAAATAATAAAAAATCACGACGTTTCAGAGGCAACACAAGTCTCTGTCATCAGGTGGGACCGTCATAGCCAGATTTGCTGTATCAAGTTTACCTACGTGACTTTACCGAAAAAACTGAGAGTATGAATCCTTGCAGTCACGAAAGCTTCAAATCTAGAATGTTATGGTCAACTGATGCTGCGATAATCGTCATCGTAAACCTAATATCGCATCATCGTGAGCGACGGCATCGCGGCAATCCCACGTCACACACACACACACAGGAGGGGGAATCGAGGAGACGCGTCGTGAGAGGGCACCTTCTCATCGAGAGCCTTGTGGTGCTCAAAGAGTGACTTGAGGGCCTTGAGCACCTCCACCTCGCTGGAGACGCCTGCCGGAGATTGCGCCTGCCGCTTCACCACCGTCATGCGGAGCGAGCGCTCGTGGCGAGACACCAGGCACTCCAGGTGCTCCAGCAGGAGCTGCGTGTGGGATACAACCGGCGAGGGGAGGGCACAGGGGTAAGAGGAGACCGTGTAACAGGCTGCCAATCGTGATAGGTCTTGCTCCTCCGGTGTGCGTCCGGGTCGTACTGTTTGTTGCTGGGCACGGGGGCTCTGTCGCGGTGATGCGGAGCGAAATGCGGCACAACCCCGAAAATGCATCACAGGGCCTAGGAGCAGCACAACGGCGAAAACCAACACCAACGCGGTGGCCTGTTCCGGAAACTACGCTTGGGAGGAACAGCACATTGCAACAATGAAAGACTTTAACCACAGAACTCAAGTATTTCCCATGTTCAACCAAAAACAAGCACTTTTTACAGGCATCCTGCAGATGTCATTTCTTCATGCCCTGTATCGGGTGTTGGCTGAGCATCTATCACTCAAATTAGTGGAGGATTGTCTGTAGTCTTTGGTAACCAGGCTAGACCATTCAATTAGCCGCATGTAAGAATTTGGTTTTATCTCAAGTGATAGTTCCAAAAATCAAACCCAGAGGAGCTCAGCAGTGGCGAATCGGAAGTCTGCTAGCAGGTGCGAGCCCCCCAGAGTCAAACAGCCGTTGCTAAGCAGGCCATGTTCGTTTCAAGCCCTCGAGGTCTGCGGGGACTGTGCTACGAGTGAGCACTTGTTACTCAGGGCAGTGCATCAGCATGCCTTGCCGCCCTTTCAGCACTCCCAAGAGCCTTGCACAAATGTATTCTAGGGTGATTCACCCGAAGATGATCCTTGCTGGAGACACAGCCAACATGATCTTTTTTAATGTTAAGCAAATTTTTATTTTTAAGCAAGAGCTTTTGAAATAAAATGTGAATTGCTTGGACAGAGGCTCAAGCACGTATTCGTGACTGTGCCACAGCCGTTTAAAATCACGTCAGACAAGGGATGCACTGCGGCCATTCAATGCCACGCACAACCATTCAATAAGTTAGGAACCCAAAATCGAACATTGACTATTTTGCTTAATAATATAATTACAAGATTCACAACAATAACTGTGGGCTTCAGTGCAAAATGTGAAGTAAAAAAGTGCAGCATAAGTGGGATAAAGCTTCGATTTAAAGCTTACGTGACTGCAGGGATTCATCTTCTTGGTTCTTTCGTTAAAGTCACGTAGAAGGGAAATAATAAAATAATAAAAATAAAACATAATAAAATTATTCTCACGACGTTTCGGCCACAACGCAAGCAGCCGTCCTCAGGTGAAGAACAGGTCTGTCGAGAAGACAGCGTCTGAATGAAACACCCCAGGCTTGGAGCGTATATTTAAGCTGGGTTGGAGGGGGAAGAGCGCCTTGACAAAAGAATTGTTTAAAAAAAAACGGCTGCTTGCGTTGTGGCCAAAACGTCGTGAGAAGTATTTTATAATGTTCTATTTTTATTATTTCCCTTCTACGTGACTTTACCGAAAGAACCAAGAAGATGGGCTAAAGCTGATATAACCGATGGCTTCAAGTTCAGTCAGCAGCCTTTGAGGCAGTTGCATTGGAAATGCCCACAGAGTACGACTGTGATTTGGTCACAGTCGGGTATAACGCTATGTTGAGAAGTCTCCCTTTCACTTCAAGTACACCCTCCTTCCCATTCCTCAACTCTTGATCACCACCCTCCCTCTGTCCTGATCACGACCTCTACTTAAAGCATGTGTTGCGTACGTCATAGTGTGTGGGGATATGTCACAAGGATAGACTTTCTAATTCGAGTTTATACAACACAATTTGGATTTAAGTATGGTAGAAATGCTACTGCATCCCAATTTAAAACATGGCTTTAAAATGAATTGCCTATATTTCCCAAATGCACTATTCAGTTGTGAGAGTCAGTTCGGCTTTAATTGTGATACATCAATAGTATAAATACGACTTATATTGTGAATTGAATTAAGTCCACAATGATAAGGGTGCCATTCACTATGGGGCCTGGGGTGCCCTTGGACCCTGTTCTTAGTGCGTGAAAATAGTTCTACTCTCTCCCTTCAACAGCAAGTAAAAGGGAATAATGCCATCATATGTGATATCGTGAAAAACACCAACTTGTTATGACCAAAAGAACACCGATACATTATTAGCACGAGGATTATACAGTACTGTACACGAAGGCATATATGTGGTGTGTGCATAATGGCCAACAGTGGGTAACTAAAGGAGATGAGCTATACGTAGGAAACAATTAAACACATTTTTTAAAATAAATATACCCACGTCAAGATATTTCTTAATTTAAAGTGAATATAAAAGTCACCCACAAGTTTATGCTAATAAAAGAGACCTCCCATCATCAATTACCGCACTCAATGTATCTGAAAAGCATATGCATGCGCAAGGCTCTGATTCATACTTTTGCAGTCATTGGATCGCGTAAGAAATGTGCTCACTGCTTCCTACCATACGACGACACATTGCGACGCTTCAGACCGCCAATACACCTCCAGCTTATCTTCTTGACCACGTTTCAGCCATTTACAATCGCAGAGCATGGCTTTTTCATGAAAAAAAAATCCCAATTGTGTTCTCTCTGTGGCCAACCATGCTGCTCCCAGTAAAAACTAAAAACGACAAATGCATTGCGTAACACGATGCTAAACAGTGGAACGCTATTGCGGCAAACTCGCTCTCGTGCTTGGCAGAAAATAAGTTGGATATTAAATAACGGCAGACCAAAAGCACTGCAATTATGGATCACGCATGACTTCTCCATCATCACTTCATACCCGTAATCAGCGATTATCGTCATCATCATTATCTATCCGCTGCGGAATGAAGGCCATCCCAAGCCGTAGCCATCGCTAATGGTCTTGCCTTGCAGCGCGATCCATCTGGCACCAGCACCTGAAAACGAGCCAATTTCATCTCACCATCTACACAGTAGATGCCTTCTCGGTGTGTTCTCATTCGGTTTCCACTCCATCGTTCTCTCGTCCGCTGGGCTATCATTCCTTCTGGCGAAGGGCCCTATCCACCTCCGTTTACTTTTCTTTACCGGTCAGTGAATATGACGACTCTAAATTGCGCATGTTCTCTGATCCCGGTGCTCCTCTACAAAGTCTCCCAGTGAAATTCAAAGCACGCACCCCCATCCACCTTTCGTTGCACATTGTTCAGATGCTGTCAAAGTCAATGTTTCTGAACCAAGTGCAAGCCAGTGATATGCAACCAATTAACACCTTTCTTTTTTTGGGAACGTAGTTTTTTTTTCCCAGGACCCAATGTGGGGGTCAACATTGTCACGTGGTTGAAACCGTTGGACCAACTTTGGGCCCAACGTTTCATGCTTTCTCCCATTATTCAGAGGTTATCATTGCGTTTAACAAAACTTCACGTGGCACGGAATGGTACGTAGAATCCTGCGATGAGGACTGACGGGCTTGGAGAGGGGCATTTATTGAGCAGCGTTCATCAATGTTAAAAAAAGAAAAACTGGAATTCCAGTTTTACAACACTTAGCTTAATCCTGAAAGTTTCTTGGGATGTGTTGGATAAGGTTTTGGAAAACATCCTCCCGTTAGTGTTCACCACAATAAATATATGTCCACGGGCATCTTTATTCAACGTGCAGCGTGCTATATGGGTAATTTCCCGTAACTTTTATGCAATAAAATCACAAGTTACTGTCTGGCCTCCTGTCAATGGCTTTAACAAATGTTGCGATGAATCACACGCTCACACGCAGGACACTTATGACGTATCCATGACATATTCTAAGGGGCCATGGTAACAGTTTGGTGGTTAATCTGAATGTCACTTCAACACCTATATATCCTTGTTACAAAGTTTTACTTCCTGGTATGATGTTCTAGGGCTGACACAGATGCGCAATGTTGCACGCGTAAATATAAAGACAGAAGGACCCCTCTTAAGATTAATGTGCAGCGTGCGGAAGAATAAATAAAACTAAATTAACGTTACGCGCCATAAATTCAGATGATCCAGAACGCTGCTTTAATGTAATGCATATAGCAAAATAAAAGATAAAGCTTGTGGCAGGGTTTGTATTTACCCGGGGGATGCATTTTTATCTTTGATGGTAATACAACAGGACCCTTGACTTAATGTCAGAAATTATGGCCAATGAAAGTCACTTGCAATGGCTGAAATGTAGTTTCTGATGCAAGGAACACATAACGTTGGGCACATAGCTTTATATCTTCATTCAATTTAACATTACATTACGTGTGCATATGGTGTGCATTTTAAACAAAGGGTGTAAGCAATCCAGGTTGATTTAAAACAATGTCTAGGTCCCCTTGGTAACCACGTTATTCATGAATGGAGAATGTAATGATTGAAATTGGATACTCAGGACTTGTCCATGTACCAAAATGCCCTGCTTGATTTATCAAGTGTTTTAATAACAGATTCATACAAATGTTACACAAACACGACAGAGTAACGGGTTAGTTTGGAAGTCCGTATTTGTGTATACTTAGAATCCCAAAGGCCTTCACGCTGAAGGTTGTAGTATTCACGTTTAAATCCAACCGAGTGAGTTTGCACCGACAGGACTTTTAAACGTCTGTTCCTATATATATACACATTTTTCATTTTACCACTGCTGTACATCTTCATTAAAGCTGCAAATAAATTCAATTATTCCAACAAATGTGCCCTCTGAAACATGCAGATTGGTCGTAATTAAACACATGGCGCTATAATTTATACAAACAATGACAATGTGTGCGACACGCAGGGAATTCCTAACCAGTGCCATCGTTGGAGGGCTCCAGCCGGTGTTGAGGGAGGGACAGAGCGCAGTGGGACTTGGCTGAGCTCCCATTCCTTCGTTGGCAGAGATCCCAGTTCTATTTGCTTCTGGGGAATCTGCCAACAATCTGTCTCGATATTCTTGCCCAACACAACCTTGACCATAAGATGAATTTAATAAAAGCAATTATTTTTGCAAAATAATGTTCGAGCACTATGAGATGCATTTAATGCAACCTAATTCCACACCCCCCCCCCCCCCCAAAAAAAATCTTAAAACCAAGGAACAGTTGAAGCAATTTAGAAAATAGCAATGCAGCTCTGATTATAGCAAAAATACATATGTGAAACTCTAATGTATTTAAAGCAAGCGGGAATCTACTGAGATACAAATGACAATTTTCACGAGAGACCAGGGCACTATATAGGAAAGTGACTCGTTTAATTTTAACATGAAGCTAAACGCCACTTTTACATTTGGCATTTGAGCCCAGACACTGGCACAGAATAGCTTACTATTATAATGCTATCAGATGCTCAAACATTTAATTAACAGTAGAGATGCATGCTTGGATAATGTCCGACATCATTACGGCAGGGAAGTGAACCACCAACTCAGTGCAAATTGGCCTGGTTCACATAAGCATTCCGACCTCCTGGATTTTCAGCCACCAGGGTCATACGAGCGCATGGCCTGCACAATCAACAGGGGCAGTCGACAGCTCAAGGAGGAGATTTCCTCAATCTTTCTCCTTGAGAACATGCTAGGCCTTTTTTCTGAGCAAGTTAATTCTGCACAAATGCCAGAATTAAGCGAGCCTTTGCATTAAACATACTAAAACAACACAGATTTCTTTCCCTGGCGCTGTACGAGCTTATTAACCTCAGACGTGCTGTAAAGTCACGTACAATTTACATATTAACCCGGCTGTTTGTCATTCACTAAACTCCATCCGGACCTCTGGCACCTGGTTCAGCCATCCTCTGCGGTACGGCTTGCGATGGTGTTTACACATTTTTTTTTGACTGAGCCGGGTGAATAACGGCTAACTACCTCCATGGGGCCGCGTCTGTTTAATTCTCAGCATCCAATTGAATTCCCATGGCCGGCGTAGTTTTTTTTTCAGCGACAGATTTTCCCGTAGCCATAACGATGCTTTACGACACACGAGGAGGCGGCATCTCCAGGAATGCAAATGTGAAGCATCGTGGCCGACTCGATCGCTGCCACGGACCAGCCATTATCGCACACTAATGAGACACCTGCAGAGACACCAGCGGTAAATGGCATTATCTGCACAAGAACAATATTAAATATTTCGCATTACACGAGGGAAATTCGAACCATCGCTCCCGCAGCTTTATTAATCAATAAATGGTAAATTAGCGATCGTGCGGACTCTATAAGTACCCTAGGAGTTTTGGCAAGGGAATAGGGGGACGTAATGGGAATTACGTGCGTGAAAGCGAGGTCATTTAGCACAGTGTTGAACTAACGCATGCGATATTTAACAATATGATATCAATATAAAATATTAGATTTAAAACAAATTTATTCGGTTTCACAAACCTATTCTGACAACATATGGAGGGCATTTTTTAACATTTAAATTGACACTAATTAAGCACATTTTAATTTTGACATTTAAATGGTGACATTTTGAATTTTATTATTCAAGCTATACATTTATTTCCCAACCTGTTATTTCGAACATATGTTATCTCATTAATGTTTATAGAGTTTACACTATGAAGGTAGCTAACACTGCCTTGGCCTTGTACTAGTGATGATGGTGTGCCCATATGTTACCCACATCATGTGTGAGCTATCGAGTATGCAGGCGGTTCAACTGCACCTCCTCTCGCTTGTTTTTTCCTGGATCTTTATGTTGCGCGTAGTCACTTTAAGATGTTCCTTGTTCATGTTTAGGTTTGTTGCGGTTGCACCCGAGTCAAGAGCCGCATGGCTCACAGGGCTATCTCCATAGATATAAAAAGCAAAGTTATGATTATGTGTGTCTGTTCAAAATGTTTAGCGTACTTCCCGACATGCAACAAACTGGAAATTTGCCATGTGGGTACTTTCCAGACTGTACACTATGCAAAAATTTAAAAAATCGACTTTTGATAATTGTTTTTTTACCCTTCTATCTGGCAACAAAACTGACACCGTTTTACAAGGAGTCATGTTTGCATAGACCACAATACCTGCAGTCATAATGCAAACAAAAAACATAAATCTGATAATGTGCACTGTCCTTGAAGTTGATTGGTCCACACCCGAGACAGCTTTCTTTAGAGCCTAGTCTCACATGGGTTGGACCAGATGTAAAAAGGTGTCAGTTTTGTAGCCAGATAGAAGGGTAAAAAACCAATTATCATATTTTTACTGGCAAATGAGGTTCCCATTGTGTAAATCGACTTTTGTTTTGGGGTGGGGAGCTCAATAATGCATTTATTTTTTGCACAACAAGTGAGCTGTGACGTCAAATCTGTCACGTGACCCGTGCATGTGGAAGCGTAACGCATTGCAGTGTCGTGGTTAGCGCGCTGCGCTACGAACCCGGCGACCCCAGTTCGATTCCCGCTCACGGCCACCACAGGTGACGATTATTTGAACCGGTCCTGGGCCTCCCCTAGGTCGACTCAGCCTCAAACGAGTAAGTGGTGCGGTGTGTGAACATCGCCACTGGGGAGACAAAGGCGGCCCGGGTGTGGTGAATCCAAGTCCCGGGCGAAGCCGGGTAGTACAGCTAGTACCTAATAAATGAAACAGAAACCGAGGCCCATGGGCTGAATGGGCCCAGCTCCCAGGCTCCAAATGGAGGGAAAATTAGATAGGCGACCCGATTTTATTCCATTAACCAAGGACCATGCCAACCGTGCTCGATAACTATTGACGAATGTGTTGAATTTGTTTATTATGCTACGTCACTGATCTCCGTGAGTATTTTCTCAGGTAACTGAAACGACACTATCTCTCGCAGGATGCAGCTCTCTTCCATCGGTACAGGAACAATCTGCTGAGCCACATACTTTAGCATTGTTTTAAGACCTCTGCAACCACTTTGCTTGAACATCAATGAGCTTAATAACAACATAATTCATGGATGTGACAGCAACATGTCAGAAGCTCGCCTGATACAATTTCAACAGACCACAGATTGTCATTTTATGGAAGCTCCCAGCTCGTGGAGCGAAACCGTTGGACATCGTGAAGAGCAACAAGCAGGAACAACGAAAAAGCAAGCATCGAGGCAGCAGTGCAAGCCACAAAAACACCCCATCATTCAGTCCCATTGAATTGTGGAGAAATGCGTTGAACCACTGCTCTCGCACGCCCGCCCTCCCTGACAATTCACAGCGTGCAAAACCCTCCTCCTCCCCTATCTGCTGTTTCTCAGCCATGCGCCCACCTATGCAATTGCCATCACTGGCGATGATTCCTCCGCCGCTTGCTTGGGTTATCAAAGGGGGTTGCTCCGAACATTGCCGGAGATGGTGGACTGGCTGCTGTCGTTGTAGGGCGGGGGGGTGGTGCAAGGTGGGGGAGCACTGAAGCGAGATTGGGAGCAATTAGTGGCCAGCGGATGCGTGGGCGTCGGTCGGCAGCTCACCCGTGTGTTGTTGCGCTCGGCTTTGAGCTCCGCAATCTCCTCCTCGCGCTCCAGCAGCTGCTCCCGACACGAGTTCAGCTCTTTCGTCAGCGCCGCGAACTCCTACACGCAAAACCAAGCAGAGAACAAAGGCCCCCCGCCGTTGAGATTTATAGACCACGGTGGGTAGAGTTGTTCGCGAGCACGAAAATTACGAGCGAACGACCGGGGAATCTGCCCGACGTTGTCACATGGGCGGTCATCAAGTGTCTAACCGGAGGAGTTCTAGGCTGAAATGTTGTCAGCAGGAAGCCGTGCAGACAAATCCATTGTTGTACTGTACTGTGACCTGTTTCTGCTCCGCGCTTTCACAATCCCCACACTGACGAGAGTGATGAAGAATGGTCAAATAACCCAAACAGCATTGTACCAACACAAGGGCTGATGTTTACACAGAACTCGGGTAACTCATTTAAGGACTCGGGAGAGATCCGGGACAGGCACATACACCAATTGCTCCTGATGATATCCATGAACGGGAATAGAACCCAGGTTTGAAGGATGTGTGGCAGTGCGCGACTCATTATGCGGCCAGTCCCCACACCACACACATACAGACGTGCGCACAAGACGACACAAGGTCATACAACGAAAGCGTTGGGATTTAAATGACATCTGATTCATATCATTAAGAATCTCCGAACCCTGTCCAGTCAGGGAAGGGAGATTTGTGAAATTAGTTGTGTAAACATACCCATATTTTGTTTACATTACGTATGTTTTTACCTTCAATTTACATGTGTGTGTGTGTGTGTATATAGTAAACGATATACTTTGACGTAAAAGGATGATGAAACATAATGAAATGTGTTGCAATGACATATGTGATACAATGTCAAAATACGAGTACATGGGATGCTGGCTTCATTAATCAATTAAACGCCTTGCGCATCTGTGCACACAGGCACATGTGCACGCTCAGGCACATGTGCACGCTCAGGCACATGTGCACGCTCAGGCACATATGGCCAATCATATGTTCATACAAATACAGCATAATGTAACTATCATACCCTTGTGTCTGCATTACATTGTGTGGACATTTAAAGGTATTCGAGACAACAACAAGACAAGTCCTGCCCACTCTAAACTATTTAGACGACCACCAATACAAGAAATATGTTGGCGTTCCGGTAAACGTATGACAGTTGTACATTTGGAAAAGGTACTGGCCGAGGATTATTTTGGCATTAAAACAATCTTAATTCTAGATTTGAAGCTTTCGTGACTGCAAGGATTCATACTCTTAGGCTTTTTCGGTAAAGTCACGTAGGTAAAAAATAAAATAAAATAAATGAAAACAGCTAAATTAAATCACGACGTTTCGGGCGCAACACAAGCGTCCGTCATCAGGTGGGAAATAGTCCACGACATCTTCAACAGGCAAACATTATAGCGAATTGTTTATATATACAAAAGGATTTACAATAATAATGTGTAATGTATAAAGTGTATACTATAGTCTGAACAGTGATATATGTTTTTTAAGGATATAAAGCACTTTGCCCTTCATATAATTGGAGGTTAGGGCCCAATGAATGTCCATTATAGACACAAAAAAATCAGTCAAAGCATTCTTTGCTGTAATTCAATTTTGACAGCGTATTTTGTCATTTCAATGGACCAATTTACATTAGTGTGTTTCAGAGTGACAGGTCCAGATATCACATGTATAGATTCATATTAAATGGGACTTGTATGACTTGAACAAAAATGTTTTCTAACAATGCGTGCGCTATGGAAGTCAGAAACAGAAAAAAGAAAGCACTTATTCCCCTTTGTGGTGAAATCTGCCACAAAAGAAGATCACGCATCTTGGCTGTGCCCAGAGTTGCGATGTCAGAACCCATTTCCAGTGTCTCATGCAATTACCTTTTATGAGCCTTTGTACGGCAGTACATTGGCATTTCATACAGCCTGCAATATAATCTAAGTGTCTTCAATAGTGTGATAGGTCTTGAAGCCTCCAACTTAACACTCTACATTCGCAAACTTAATGACAGAAATTTCAGCGGTAGACTAAACTTGGGTAAAGGTGCAGCCCTGCAATTGCTCGCTCACACTGCTCATGGTGGAAGGGGCTCCACTAGAGGGAGGTCTAGAAGGTTCCCCTAGAAGGTATTTTGGACTACTCCAAGCTGCTCAGATGTCTCAGAATTTGAATCTTTATTCATACCGGAGGAATCCAATGAGCGATAAAACTCTTTTTCACGGATGTCAGGGAGGGGCGGGTCAGATTGTTACAACAACAAACAAAACAAAAACACAATGGGAGTGCAAAGTATAGCAAAGGTAAGCAAATCACTAAAACAACAAAAAATAAAAATTTGTATTTTACAAGGTAAAGTCCACCGAGCTTTAGGCTTGTATTTCAAAGACGACCTCACCACAAATAATAACCCAACGGAGTGACTTATCATGTGGAAATGTATAGCAGCAGCCAAACAATCCGAGGAGGTGACAGTACCGTACCTAAACACAGCAGACTCCACCTCCGAGTGACTAATTGTGGAGTGCCTATTGATCCTGCTGCACGGATCGAGGTGTGGGGGGGGGGGATTTATTTTGATATTTCCCTTTGCTCTTACCACCACACTGGGATAACTCTGGAATGCAAGTCCAGTGTACTAACCATTGCACGACACCAGCAGCAGCAGACTAAATTAGAGCCGACAAATACGCATCTATATGATTAAACCTTCATGAACGATGCATGCATCCAGGGCTGGAGTAAGGTTATGAGGCGCCTAATGTTAATAGGAGGAAAGGGCCCAAGTGTATTGCAAAACATTTTATGAAGTCAAACGTATTTATTTATCTACCTATGTTAAATTAACACAATGAAGCGACTCAAGGTAAATGAAAATACTATGTTACCTTACAAAACAATCCCATTATGTATTCACATCATGGCCAAATTATAAGCCATCACAGTAAAGACACCGAAGCCCGTCTCCCCAGAGTGACGTCTCTAAAAACCTAAAGTTGACTGCCTAGGTGGCAATTGAATCTTCAAAAACCTATGGTCCATTAAGCAGCCTGTAATTTTATTTTAAAATTGGCTTCTTTACCTGTGGGAGCAGTCAACCACATAACAGCGACATTCAGCCTAGCGGTGACTGTGGTTTAATAAACCACTTAAAAGTTGGAAGCACTTTATTGTGTTAAGTGCTAAGCTTTGTAAATATGCCCGTGTCTCTAAGCCAATCAATTCAGCAGTTTCTCATGTTTGGGACGAACCAAACAGGTGCAGTCACTGCATTCAGCATCTGAGTGACCCACACGGTCTGGAAATTGAAATTAATTATTCGTACAACCAAGCACAAACCTATAACCGTATTGTTGTCACGAGATTTTTTTTAAACGTGATTTTTTTTTAAAGGCTTCCAAAAACAAATCGTGCTTTCCGAGCAAATGTAGATTTATGGGAAGGTAGCGTTGATCTACGGGTGTTTTTTGCTCAGATTAGCCAGTGCTGCAATCACAACTCGCACGTGGGACTCTGCTGCATGCCACCCCAAGCCATGAAACATAACCTGGAATGTTTTCAGATCAACTCAATGAAATGAATTGTGGACAAATAATCCTGCGGATGTGACCACCACAAGCATTTTCCTGAGACATTTGGCGAATTAATATTTAACAGGTGTGCAGTGACAGCTTCATGTAATGAATGCTCTCACCAACAGGAAACAGATCAAGGGGCCACAGGCAACTAGTTGTAAGTTGTGGATTTCTTCGCTGTATATCTTCTAGACCATCTTACTTTAACAATTCTTTCCTTCATTTATTGATTTAACCATTCCTTCATTTACATGTAGATTCATGAGCACACCTTAATATTTTTTTTCAATGTTCCTAAACGTTATGCTCACCGACAGACAACGTCAAACTCAGCTGCCCTCTTTCGCTGCTGGTGCAGAAAAGTGAAGTGAGCGAGCGAGCCCATCTGGCTGATTACGCGACTCCGGCTACCTCTTCAGTGAGGGGGCTTCTCCCAGAGGTCGCAAACGGGTTTTGATTCCTTACCCGTACCCGTACCCGGCCGCACCAGGGTCGCAAATGGGTACCCGTACCCGGCCAGGTACGGGTACCCGTTCCCAGCCAGGTACGGGTACCCGTTCCCTACCCGTACCCGTACCCTACCCGAAATGAGTGACAAACGGTTACTCACCAGTGACTCAAGGCCTACCCGTACACGGCCGCACCAGGGTCGCAAACGGCTACCCGTAACCGGCCGGGTACGGGTAGCCGGGTATCGGGTAGGGTACGGGTATCGGGTCCCCGGTAGCGACCTCTGGCTTCTCCCCTTCGAGTGGACTCTCTTTTTCTGCAGTGGCAGCATCTTGGCGGCGTCAGTGCCCCCATTGCTGAGCGTAATGGGGACGATGCGGGTGTCAACACCAACGGATACATTTAAAAAAAGAGTTGTCGCGCATGAAGAGCGAACGCAACATTCAGCTGACCTCGGACGCAGCGACTCCATGTAGAAAGCTGTTCGTGAATGGATGCTCGGAATCTTTAAACAAATCAGATACATTTTGATTTAAATCAGATAAACTATAAGTTGCTGGAGGTCAGCTGAGGAACATTTTGCTAAAATGCAACCTTAGCTGCTTTGCAAACTACGTGGGGTACACTTAATAGCTTTTGTTATGCCGACAGAGCATATTTGAACCTCCTCAGCAATTTATTTGATTAATGAGGCTTTCCACCTCTACTTCCAAACGGTATTTTTTATTATTCAGCTACCACCAAAAACACATGTGAAGTGAACGCTCGGCAGCCGAATAAATCTCTACTTTAATTTTTATTATCTAAGGTGTATGATAATTTGACACACATAGAACAAACAATGTTACAATGTTACCGGCCCCGGACGCATGTGTTTGTGTCACTTTACATGTTCCAACAAACACGCTGCCCCTTCCTGGCCTTCCCCTGCCCCCCCCTGGCCTTCCCCTGCCCCCCCTGGCCTTCCCCTGCCCCCCCTGGCCTTCCCCTGCCCCCCACCTCTGGCCTTCCCCTGCCTCTTCCTGGCCTTCCCCTGTCTGGCCTTCCCC